CACTGGACAGGATCGCGATGGCTCTGAAATCTGAAACTCTACATGCACCCCAGAACTTAGCCACCAGCGACACCTGATGGCGTGAGAAGATCTGATCATGCTGCTCGCTCGGGTGGTTCAGCAGACGCAAGGTAAAAATCTCGCCGAGCAAGTCTAAAGTCTCATTGCTCAACTCCAGCAACATTTCAGCTACTGCACAATCGCCCCGAGCGCATGACTTGCCTGGCTTCATGCGGGCCAAAGACTTACGAAGAAGAGCAGCATCAAACTGGTGAGGGAGGTCCGCGGCTGCCTCCCTCGGCCACTGCTGCCAGATCCATTTAGGCAAGGTCTCATCCAAGGAAGACTGATCATTGAATAAACCATGGTAAAACTGGGCCACCTCCTCCCTCATCTCCTCCACCTGCGTGATAAATTCCCCCTGCGCCGTCTTTAGAACTTTCACCTTCCCGCCTTTAAAGCCCCTGTCCACCCGGCCCCGTTTAAGTAGGTACTCATGTTTGAGATGATGGTTTTCAGCCTGCAGTTTATGTTGTAGTTCCACAAGACGTATGCCTAGAACGTGTCGAACGCTAGGGTCCTGTTCAGCATCCCGAGCCTGCCTAGTCGCCGTTGCCTGTACAAGAAGAGGATGGTCTTTCGGGGTCCGAGGGGGTCCATGGCTTTTCTTCTTCCCACAACTTGCGGCCACATCGGCAACCGCAGCGGTAAACTCACCCATGGAGGGAACCTGCTGGCCCGCGTCGTTTTTCCTGATCAGGTTGCTTTCAGGTGGGGGCACGTCCTCGACCATACGCACAGGCTGCAGCGGCTGCTTCCGCGGCTTCTCTAAGAGGCTAGCCCAGGCACAGCGGAACAACAAGAAAGGTACTTGGGTCCGCGCGGCCGCCGTGCAGCCGTGGTTGTACAGATACTGGTGCTCGTCTGTCGGGATCGAGCTCTGGCGCAGCAAAGTGGAAAAGTCGGCACTCCCCAGCGGGCCCGTGGGGCACGGTCTGACTCGAGACCACCTTACAGGAGAAGACGAGGTCGGATTTCCCTCTTCCAGAGCACGTCGATCAGCGACATGGTCACCCAAAACGCCTGAGTGACCCCGAACCCAGGAGAGGATGATCCTGAAAGTGCGGAAGACCTTGGCCCAGACGAAGCGAAGCAGGGAGGTGAGAACGAGGTTGTGCTGAGTGTAGAAGGTATTCTCGAGGATGCCTATCACGTACGTGGAATCAAAGACCACCTCGACCACGGAGCCTGCGGCCAAGAGGTTGTGTCCTGAGGGTGCAATGGATCCTAGGAGCCACAAGCCTGTTTCAATTGCCCCCGATAGTTCAGCAGTATTGTTTGTACAACGAATGGCGCCTAAAAAGCCCTGGGAGGCGGGGTCGGTGCGTACTGGGCCGCAGGCTTCGAAGACGGGGGTGCAATTTACACCCGAGGATCTTAAAGATGTCGAATTCGGGGTCAGGCCTGGGGGGTCCTTGAAAACCGCGAAGCCCCAACCGCACGTAGACTTAGTCTTAGTGCGCTTCTTAAAATGGCCGTCACTGAAGATTCTGAAACTAACCTGATCAGGTGAGATGTCCGTTCTCAACCTGCCCGAAATATCAAAACGGCCCTCAAGCTGGGCCCCAAAAGTGTGGTCTAGCAACTGCCAGCCCACAGGTTTCGTCGTGAAACGATGTTTGCAGACTGGAGTGAAGACAATTTGAGGCCGGCGCTCAGCGAAGAAGCGAAGCACCACAGGCGAATGGTCCGACTTCACCGCCGACGACTCCCGCACCTGGGCGTTGTAGCTGGCGACGGGGAAGGACCCGCAGACCATGGCGAAGTCGATCTGTCTTGGCTCGAACCGTCCGTCGTAGAAGCATGTCGCGACCCCCATGGCAGGTGTACTCCAAGTGTTAGCTGCAATCAATTCGTTTGTTATCATGAACTCGTGCAGGTAGTCGGTCTTCCACGAGCGAACTCCAGCGACGCGAGGTCCCACTGCTCGAGTCGGGTACTTTCTCTCGCCGAATGAGGCGTTCGCGTCAACACAGAGAATAGGTCTGAAGTCCGAGGGTGTCATATCAATCAGCTGCTCGCACTCTTGGAGATCTTGGGCGCAGGCAGAGTGGTTATGAGAGTCAGGGTCGAGATGTGCGCATATAATCCAAAACTTTCCACGCGGTGTGTGAACTCCCAAAGCGAGGCAAGAAAGTCTAAACAGTGGCTTCCCAATGATGCAAGCCGTGAGTGTCTTATGCACTACAATACAGGGTCTCCTTTTCCGCCTCCCGCTGGGGGGCCCTAGGATTACTGCATGGCCAGCTATCTCAGGATGGGCAAGGCCAGTCTCCGTGAATTCTTGGAAGCAGATCACATCCCAGAAGAACTCGCGCTCAAGTTGATCCAGCACCCCTGCGGCACCTTTCATCGGAACTCCTCGGCAGTTCCAAGAGATGATCACGGTGTCGTCGCTGGTGTGAGCGCGCCCTCCCGAAGATAGTCAAGACCTGCGAGGTGGGTCGTTGATCTCGTCAAGCTTGGAGGCCAGGTCGAGTTGAATCCCCATGCTGTTGAGCCAGGCCTGACCCCCTTCCGCCGAGCGCAAGAGGTACGACGGGCACGCCCTCGTGAGCAAGCGGATCGGCCCCCTCGGCTGCACGTCCATCGGCAGGTGCTTGCGCAGGCAAACGACGGTGCCCATGTCCTTCTGGGCGTCCAGGGAGTTCGTCAGGGACTGCGCGTCGTGCTGGGGCCACTTGGTCGCGAAGGCGGCCTTGATCAGATCCTTCGCGTGGGCGGTCCTGCTGTAGCACACGATCTCATCCGTGTACTTATCGATGCTGTGCCAAAGTTTTCGCTTGTTCCCATCGATCTGGTCCACCTCGCGGCTCCGCTCAGCCAACAAGCTGGCAAATTTGTTCCCCTTCATCGCAACTAAACACTTCCACATGAAATCTTTGTTAGTGAATTCCACTTTCACCCTGTCGGTGTAAGAGCCAGCTGGGAACACCTTGGCAACGCCCTCAATGTGCGCGAGCCGCAAGACCTCGCGCATCTCGCTCGCCAACTCAGCACCTTCCGAGTAGATCCAGCCACCGATGCAGAGCGTCTTCCGCAAGCCCATCGGCAGCCTGATGGTGGGCGGCGGGATCGTCGAAGCGTCTGTGCCTCCGCTTCCCACCGAGTGAACTGAGGCCGCTGAGGTTGGAGGTCGAGCAGCACACGCGCCTGACTCCACTGCGGCCATCCTGGTCTTCATGTTAGCAAGGTCTCCCTTCAAAGCTGCAACTTCTCGATCTGTGTTCGTAACTTTACGGTTAACCTCCTCCACCTTTGCGTCTAACGGTTTGATGGTCTCCCCCATGACGTTTCTGAAATCTGCAGAAAGGGCCGTGAACAGTCGGGCGGCCCCTGGATCGAGACCCTCAGGAATAGCTGCTGGAGGAGGCACTGCAGGAGGAGGTCCCAAGGGCATGACTGCTGGGGCTGCTCCGTTTGGTCCCCTGTAGTCTCCCCACGGGTCGAAGGGCGGTCCTCCAGCGGCGGCAGCATGTACTCCAACACCTCCTGCAGCAGCGATACGGCGTTGCTTCGCCTCGTTTCCCTCCAGGTCCTCATCGTCCTCCATGGCGTCCCTGGCGTGCAGGGGCTGAAAGTTCTGACCTGCGAGAGCCATGATGTTACGAACTGCACAATATTCCCGCACGAGAGGCAAAATGCGCGCGCGGGGCAGGATGTGGAAGTGAGGTGGGACTGGTACTGCAAGGAGACTTGCGTGCACACAACCGCAGACTCAGCAAGAGCCTTGAGCCTTGAGCCAAAATGGCGACGACGACGTCGACGACGACGACAACGGCGACGTTGACGACGACGACGACGACGACGACGACGACGACGACGACGACGACGACGACGGCCACTACGACGACGACGACGACGACGACGACGACGACGACGACGGCGGCGACGACGACGACGACGACGACGACGACAACGGCAGCGACGACGACGACCACTACGACGACGACGACAACGACGATGACGACGACGACGACTACCACTACGACGACGGCGGCAGCGACGTCGACGTCGACGACGACGCCGACGACGACGTCGACGACGCCGACGACAACGGCGACGACGGCGACGACGACGACGACGACGACGACAACGGCGACGACGCCGACGACGACGACGGCGACGACGACGACGATAACAACGACGATATCAACGACGACAACGGCAGCGACGGCAGCGACGACGAGGACGACGACGACGACGACGACGACGACGACGACCACTACGACGACGACGACGACGACCACGACGACGACGATGACGACGACGACGTCGACGACGACGACGACGACGACGACGACGACGACGACGACGACGCCACCGCCGCCGCCGCCGCCGCCGACCTCTCGAGCCCTCTGACGACGACGACGGCGGCAGCGACGACGACGACGACGACCTCATGAGCTCTCCTCTGGAGCCCTCCGACGACGACGACGGCGGCAGCGACGACGACGACGACCTCTGGAGCTCTCCTGGAGCACCACAACACCATGCCACAAACGCCACACACGCCACACCCACAGCACCACACCACATCCACACGGGGGGGCCATCGCGAAGGCGGGGCGGGGCCCGATGGCATCAGCAGAAGGGGCGGGGGGAGGCCCAGACCCAACTTGGGCGCTGAGATGGGATGGGGATAAGGGTCGGTGAAACGATATCGATATTCATCTCCAATGGTCCATTCCTTTCCAACGATCCTGGATCCGTTGTGAACAATCCTGGTGCCCACCGAAAGAAAACCAAAAAACAACCTTCCCAAACCCAGCGCCACCAACCTCGCCCACCCCTTCCTGCTGACCGGAACCAGCGCTGTGCCAGCTCAGAACCCCGGCAGGCTCCAATAACCCTTCCACCCGACCCGATTGACGCACCCGCCCCCGGCAACCCCGCGCCTCTGCTCGCCTCTGCCGTGCCCCCCGAACCGGCGGTCTGGC